TGGGGGGTTCAGGGGGTCCTTGGGGGCTCTGGGGGGGTCCCCAGGGGTCCTCAAGGAGTTCAGGGGTTCCCCAGGGGGTGCTCAGGGTGTCCCTGAGGGTCTCAGGGTGTCCCCAGGGTGTCCCCAGGGTGTCCCCAGGGGTTCCCCAGGGGGTCTCAGGGTGTCCCCGGGGGTCTCAGGGTGTCCCCGGGGTGTCCCCGGGGGTCTCTGGGAGCAGCAGGACCCCCGGCCCCAGTCCCAGCCGTGTCCCCCTCCCCATTTTCAGGGAACATGTTCCCCACCATCGGGGACGTGCACCTGGCGCCCTTCACGGACGAGCAGCTCTACATGGAGCAGTTCACCAAGGCCAACTTCTGGTGAGGGATCCCTGGTCCCGATCCCCGATCCCTGTGAGGGATCCCTGAGCCTGAGCCTGATCCTGATCCCTGATCCCGATCCCTGATCCTGATCCCTGATCCTGATCCCTGATCCTGTTCCTGATCCTGATCCCTGATCCTGTTCCTGATCCTGTTCCCTGATCCCGATCCCTGATCCCTGTGAGGGATCCCTGATCCTGATCCTGATCCCTGATCCTGATCCTGATCCCTGATCCTGTTCCTGATCCCTGATCCTGATCCTGATCCCTGATCCTGCCCTGATCCTGATCCCTGAGCCTGAGCCTGATCCTGATCCCTGATCCCTGTTCCAGATCCCTGATACTGATCCCAGTCCCTGATCCTGATCATGATCCTGATCCTGGTCCTGAACCTGATCCCTGTTCCTGATCCCTGTTCCCGGTCCTGATCCCAATTCCAGTTCCCAATCCCTGTTCCAAATCCCTGATCCCGATCCCTGTTCCCGATCCCAGTTCCCGTTCCCGTTCCCAGTCCCAGTCCCAGTTCCCGTTCCCGATCCCAGTTCCCGTTCCCGATCCCAGTTCCCATTCCCGATCCCAGTTCCCGTTCCCAATCCCAGTTCCTGTTCCCGATCCCAGTTCCCGGTCCCAGTCCCAGTTCCCGTTCCCGATCCCAGTTCCCGTTCCCAATCCCAGTTCCCATTTCCAGTCCCAGTTCCTGTTCCCGGTCCCAGTTCCAGTTCCCAGTCCCAGTTCCCAGTTCCTGTTCCCAGTTCCCGTTCCCAGTTCCCAGTTCCTGTTCCCGATCCCTGTTCCCGATCCCAGTTCCCTTTCCCAGTCCCAGTCCCAGTTCCCGTTCCCGATCCCAGTTCCTGTTCCCGATCCCAGTTCCTGTTCCCAGTCCCAGTTCCTGTTCCCGGTCCCAGTCCCAGTTCCCAGTCCCAGTTCCCAGTTCCTGTTCCCAGTTCCCGTTCCCAGTTCCCAGTTCCTGTTCCCGATCCCTGTTCCTGATCCCAGTTCCCGATCCCAGTTCCCGGTCCTGTTCCCAGTCCCAGTTCCCAGTTCCTGTTCCCAGTCCCAGTTCCCAATCCCAGTCCCATTCCCGTTCCCATTCCCGTTCCCATTCCCGTTCCCATTCCCATTCCCAATCCCCATTTCTGTTCATTCCCATTCCCGGTCCTGTTCTCAGCCCCAAAAATCCCCAAAAATCCCCAAAAATCCCCAAAAAATCCCCAAAAAATCCCCAAAAAATCCCCAAAAAAATCCCAAAAAATCCCCAAAAAATCCAAAAAAATCCAAAAAAAATCCCAAAAAATCCCCCCAAAAATCCTAAAAAAACCCCCAAAAATCCCCAAAAAATCCCAAAAAAATCCCCCAAAAAATCCAAAAAAATCCCAAAAAAATCCCCAAAAAATCCCCCCAAAAATCTCAAAAAATTCCAAAAAATCCAAAAAAAAAACCCTAAAAAAACCCCAAAAGAATCCCAAAAAAATCCCAAAAAATCCCCAAAAAATCCAAAAAAATCCCCAAAAAATCCCCCCCAAAATCTCAAAAAATCCCAAAAAAATCCCAAAAAAAACCCTAAAAAAACCCCCAAAAATCCCAAAAAAATCCCCAAAAAATCCCCCAAAAATAAAAAAAAAATCCCCCAAAAAATCCCAAAAAATCCCCAAAAAATCCCCCAAAAAATCCCAAAAAAATCCCAAAAAATCCCGAAAAAATCCCGAAGAAATCCCCATTCCCATTTTCCCCCAGGTACCAGCCCTCCTTCCACGGGGTCGATCTCTCGGCGCTGCGCGGCGCCGCCGTGGACGAATATTTCCGGCAGCCCGTGGTGGTGAGAGACCCCTGGGGGGTCCCAGGACCCTTTATTTTTATTATTATTTATTAATGGTTTTTATTATTTGTTTTGGTTACTTTGTTATTATTTTTATTATTATTTTAATTGTTTAAATTATATTTTTATTTTTTTTTTTATTATTTTTTCTATTTTTTTAATTGGTTTTTATTTTATTTTTTATTTTTGTTGTTTTTTATTTTTTATTTTTATTATTAATTTTATGATTATATCTATTATTGCTTGTCATTTTATATTTTTTATTTATTACTGTTTATTATTTTGTTTTTTATTATCTTTGTTATTTTTATCGTAATTTCTATTTTTTCATTCATTATTATTTATTTTTATTATTATTAATTCTTATTAAGTTTCATTATTTTTATTATTATTTTTATTGTTATTTATTTATTTATTCTTTTTATTAATTTTATTATTTATTATTATTCATTATTATTTGTTACTATTTTTATTGTTTATTATTTATTATTTTATTATTTTATTATTTTATTTATTTTTATTAATGTTATTTATTCTTTCATTGTTATTTTTATTATTATTATTATTTTATTATTATTAATTTTTATTATTTTTATTAATTTTATTTATTATTTATTATTATTCATTATTATTTGTTACTGTTTTTATTATTTATTATTTATAATTTTTATTATTTTTTTATTTTATTTCTTTTTATTCATTTCATTTATTTCATTATTTGTTATTTTTATTATTATTATTTATTATTTTCATTATTTTATTTATTATTAATAATTTCCATACTTTTTATTAATTTTATTATTTATTATTATTAGTTTTTACTATTTTCATTACTTATTATTACTTCTTATTTTTATCATTTTATTATTATTATTATTCTTATTTTATTATTATTAATTTTTATTATTTTTATTAATTTTATTTATTATTTATTATTATTCATTATTATTTGTTACTATTTTTATTATTTATTATTTATAATTTTTATTATTTTTTTATTTTATTTCTTTTTATTCATTTCATTTATTTCATTATTTGTTATTTTTATTATTATTATTTATTATTTTCATTATTTTATTTATTATTAATAATTTCCATACTTTTTATTAATTTTATTATTTATTATTATTAGTTTTTACTATTTTCATTACTTATTATTACTTCTTATTTTTATCATTTTATTATTATTATTATTATTATTATCCTTTTTTATTGTTATTATTATTATCATTTTATTTTTATTATTATTATTATCATTTATTATTATTATTATTATTATTATTATTATTATTATTATTATTATTATTATTCTTCACTTGATTCTTTTATTCCTACTATTTTATTATGTTTTCTCCCCCTCCCCCAGGACACGTTCGACATCCGGATTCTGATGGCCAAATCCGTTAAATACACCGTCAACTTCCTGGAGGCCAAGGAGGGCGACCTGCACAGGTGGGGAGGGGTCTGCAGGGGGGGCTGGGGTCTTCACCCCCCCTCAAATCCCAAACCATTCCCAAATTTTATTATTTTATTATTTTCATGATTATTATTTTATTTTTTGTTATTATTTTCATTTTTACTAGAGTTGTAATTATTATTTTATTTTATTAGTTCAATTTTTATTATCATAATTTTATTTCTATTACTATTATTATTATTACTATTATTATTATTTTATTATCATTATTATTTTTATTATCATTATCATTTTTATTTCTTATTGTAATTACTATTACTATTTTATTCTTACTATTACTAAAACTATTTTATTTTATTAGTATTTTTATTATTACTATTTTTATTATATTTATTATTATAGTCATTTTATTTTATGATATATTATTACTATTATCATTATTATTATTATATTGTATTATATTGTATTATATTGTATTATTTTTAATTATTTTTAATATTATTTATTTTTATTTATTATTATGCTTATTATCATCATTATCATTATTTTTATTATTTTATTTTATTTTACTTTATATTATTATTATTGTTGTTATTATTATTATTATTATTATTATTATTATTATTATTATTATTATTATTATTGTTATTATTATTATTATCCCTAATTAACCATTTCATTTCCATTCCCTTTCCCAGGATATTGTATTAGTAATTATTGATTTTTATTATTATCTTCATTATTATAATAATCACTATTATATCTTATTTTTTAATTATTACTTTTACTATTATTTTATTATTATTATTTTTACCATAATTTTTATTTTTACCTTATTTTATTTTATTTTACTTCATTTTATTCATTCCATTTATTTCATTTTATTTATTTTATGTTGCTTCATTTTATTATTATTATTGCTGTTACTGTTATTATTTTTATTATTACTATTATTATTATTACTATTATTATTGTTATTTATTATTGTTATTATTATTATTATTATTATTGTTATTATTATTACTATT